GTGGGGAGGCAAATAGAGCAGTTGGCCGGTGCACAGCAAGATCCCACGTCCTGTCGGTGGCCAGGTGGTTAGTGTTCCACACCACACACCCCCGGGCGCTGACCCTACAGTGGGACTGCTCTCCCCCATCGCTGACCGTTCAGTGGGTCTCCACCACCACCTGCTTGTGGCCCCTCGGGGAGGGTAGAGCTGAGGCAGCGGCAGCGTGTTTGGGGATGTGTGTGTGTGTGCAAGTGTGTACGTGTGTCTGTGTGTGCGCGCGAGTGTGTGTACGTGTGCCTGTGTGTGCACGCGAGTGTGTGTACATGTGTCTGTGTGAGAGAGAGTATTTGTGTGTGTGTGTGTGTGTCTCTGAGTGAGTAAGTGTGCATCTATATATGTGCGTGTGTGTGTCTGTGCGCGCGTGTCTCTGTGTGTGCATGTCTGTGTGTATTGGCATGTCTCTGTACGCATGTATCTGTGTGTGTGTATGCGCGTGTCTCTGCGCATGTGTGCCTGTGTATGTATGCGCATATCTCTGCGCATGCATGTCTGTGTGTGTATGCACGTGTCTCTGCGTGCATGTGTCTGTGTGCGTATGCGCGTGTCTGCGCGTGTGCCTGTGTGTATGCACGTATCTCTGCATGTGTGTGCCTGTGTGTGCGTATGCACATGTCTCTGCGCGTGTGTGCCTGTGTGTGTGTGCGCGTGTCTCTGCATGTGTGCCTGTGCGCGTTTGCGCGTGTATCTGCGCGTGTGCCTGTGTGTATGTATGCACGTGTCTCTGTGTGTGCATGTTTGTGCGTGTGTATGTGTGCATGTCTGCGCGCGCGTGCATGCGTGTGTATGCGTGCATGTCTGTGCGCGCGTGCCTGTGTGTGTGTATGCGTGCTTGTCTGCGCGCGTGTGCCTGTGTGTGTGTATGCACATGTTTCTGTGCGCGCGTATTCCTGTATGTGTGTGCGTGCGTATCTCTGCACGTGTATGCGCGTGTCTCTGAGCAAAGGGTGCCTGTGTGTGTGTATGCACGCGTGTGTCTGTGTGTGTTTGCGTGAGTCTCTGCACGTGTGTCAGTGTGTGTATGCACATGTCTGCACACGCGTGTCTGTGTGCGTGTATGCATGTGTCTCTGCGCACGCATGTGTGTGTGTATGCGTGTCTGCGCGTGCATGTCTGTGCGTGTATGCGCATATGTCTGCGCGCGTGTGTCTGTGTAGATATAGTGGGCCGTCAGGGTTGGGAGTGTCAGGCGGGAGATCCTGGGCTGTGAGCAGCGCTGACGTTACTGCTGTGTTTCAGGGAGGTCTGCTATCCATGCTTATCTCACTGGGCCTGATGATGTGGCTGTCAGTGACTCCACACAACTCCGAGACGGAGAAGAAGAGACTCCTGATCCTGTCCACCTTCGCCTTTTTCACAGGTAACCAAAGGGATTGAAGGTTATGGTGGAGGTGAGGGGTGGGGTGGGGGTGATGGTGAATGAGAAAGTTGGGAATAGGGGACGATCAGCTGCGATCCAATCGAACGGCAGAGCGGGTTCAAAGAGCTAAATGGCCTACTCCTCCAGTTTTCTGTGTTTCAGTGTTTTAAACCTGTATCCGAATACACGTCGGGGGCGGGGGGCTAGATTGATTCACAGCTGCCTCATGCTCCTGTTTCCCTTCTCGGGGACGTAGGAGCAAATTGAAGGCAGGGTGGGCTGTCTGAGAGGGAGTCGACGACAGGACGGGAGCCCAGCGTCGGAAAAGCGAGACGATGATTTTAAAGTGTGCTACCAAATCATTGCACTGCAACTCCTCACACAGAACATAACTTTTTGGATGGCCCTGTGTCTTTGACCCAGTGACACAAGGAACAGACGCCATCATTGCAAGTCAGGATGGTGTGTCTGTGTGTGTGTGTGTCTGTGTCTGTGTATGTGTGTGTCTGTGTATGTGTGTGTCTGTGTGTGTGTGTATGTCTGTGTGTGTGTGTCTGTGTCTGTGTGTGTGTGTCTGTGTGTGTGTCTGTGTGTGTGTGTCTGTGTGTGTCTGTGTAGGGGAGGGGCGTGGATGGGATTGGGGTCTTGGTGGGGAGCTTGAGGGTGGTGGTGCTCCCCCCCCCATACCTGTTTCCCCTCATCTTTCCGGGGCTGTTGGGGGTGGGGGGGTGATAAGAGGTGTCGGGTTCGGAAGGTGCCGTCAGTCGGAGGAGGAGGAGGAGCCTCAGCGAGTCGCTGCAGTGCGTCTTGTAAAAGGTACACACTGCTGCGACTGTGCATCGGGGGGGTCGGAGGGAGTGAGTGTGGAAGGTGAGTTCTTGGGGACCTAGGGCAGGTGAACTGAATCAATGTGTTGCATGTGGGACTGAGTTGAAAGGATTGAACGACCCCCTCCTGTTCCCGTGCTGGAAGAGGAGTGGGCTGAATGGCCTCCTCCCATTACCCACCTGGCACCCAGCCCACCCTCTGTATTTTAACTGGTTCCCGTTCCTTTTTGCTTGCAGGCACTGGACTGGGACCGCTAATGGATCTTGTCATTTCCATTAACCCTACGTAAGTGTTCAGCCCTGACGTCAATTTCGACCCGTGTTTGCGCGTGTGTGCATCCCCGCATTTTACCACCTCCCTGGACCTTTTACGGGTGGTTCTGGGGGAATGAAACAAATTAAAACTTAGGGGTTTTTGTTTTAAAAATTCTGCCGTGGTTGTTAGAATTGTCAGGATGTGACTGGGGAGAGTGCGCTGATAAGGATATCCCATCTTACTATCAGCCAACACAGCTGTGTGCTCAGGTATAAAACCCCGCTGTGACCTCCGAACTGAGCATCCCAACTGACTGATGCCATCCGGTGCAGAAGGGAGATATTGACAGGTTAAGGAAGTGGCCGAAATGTTGGCAAATGGGGTATGCGGTGGGCAAAATGCGACATTGGTCGTTTTGGAAGGCAGAACAGAATATTATTTTAACGGAGAAAAAAGTGCAGAAGGCTGAAACATAAACAGACTCGGGCTGACTTGTACACAATCCACAGAAAGCCGGCACAGATAATGTAGCAGGTAATCGGGAAGGCTAATGGGATGTTGGCCTTATTTCAAGGGGGTTGGAGTATAAGAGTCAGGAAGTCTTACTGCGTTTGTACAAGGTGCTGGTGAGACCACACCTGGATTACAGTGAGCAGTCCTGGTCCCCTTATTGAACAAAAGATATCATTTCATAGGAGGCAGTTCAGAGAAGGTTCACTTTGATGATCCCTGGTGTGGAAGGATTATCTTATGGGCAAAGGTTAAACAGGTTGGGACTCTACTCACTGGTGTGTAGAAGAATTTTTTTTCCTTTATTCATTCATGGGATCAGGGCATTGCTGACCAGGCAGCATTTATTGGCCAAAGGGCATTTTAGAGTCAACCACATTGCTGTGGGTCTGGAGTCATATGTAGGCCCAGACCAGGTAAGGATGGCAGTTTCCTTCCCTAAAGGACATTAGTGAACCAAATGGGTTTTCCCCCCAACAATTGGCAATGGATTCATGGTCATCGTTAGACTCTTAATTCCAGATATTTTATCAAATTCAAATTCCACCATGTGCCATGGCAGGATTTGAACCCGGGTCCCCAGAACACTATTTGGGTCTCTGAATTAACATTCCAGCGATAATACCATTAGGCCATCGCCTCCCCCTATAAGGCAATCTCATTGAGATGTGTAGGGGCTTGACAGGGTAAACACTGAGAGGATATTTCCCCCCCACGGGAGAGCCTAGGACCAGAGCGTATGGTCTCAGAATAAAGGGGCACCAATTTAAAACTGAGATGAGGGGGAATTTCTTCTCTCAGAGGGTTGAGAGTCTTTGAAACTCATTATCTGAAAATGTCCCCTTTATTGCCAACTCTCTGCTCTCTATTAGCTGACCAATCCTCTACGCATGCTAATGTACTACCTCATCACCTCGTTGAGTAGCCTAACACGTGGTACTTTATCCAATGCCCTCTGAAAATCTGGCTATATTACACCCACAGTTTCCCCTTTTTCTATCCGGCTTGCTCCTTCCTCAAAGGGTTTGAGCCAGTTTGTGGGTTTGACTTCCCCTTCACGAAGGCGTGCTGACTCCCCCATCGACGGTCCTGCGTATTTCTGAGTCCTGATCACATGTGCTTGTGTCTCTCTAGCATCATCCCCACTGCGTTCCTGATCTCAGCCCTGGTCTTCTGCTGCTTCACACTCAGCGCCTTGTACGCTCAGCGCCGTAGCTACCTCTTTCTGGGAGGTGAGAGGCCAAGGGGTGCGGGGGGGGGGGGGGGGGGGTGGGGTGGGAGGGGGGGGGGGAGACGTGGATGGTCGGGCTTGGGTGAGGGGGTTGGCAGTGTCCAAGGTATCGCGTGGTTCGTGTCGTCCTCAGTGAACCGAGGCTCCAACCGCCCACCTCCCCCCCAACCCCCAACTCCACAAACCCAGAGAGAGAAAACCCCTGACAACTACTGTGTAGTGTCACCCGCCGCCCTCAACACCATCCTCTGAGGAATCTCTCTATAGCCACGGTTTGGGAAGTAGCTCGTGGTTCGGGGGCGGGGGTTGGGGGGGGCAGCGGAGTGGTGGGGACAGTGTAGTGCAACTCAGATGGCCACCTGCTCTGTCAGAAGGGGACATCTGAGGTGTTTTGTTGTTTATTTCTACTTTAACCTTGTCCACTTTCTCTCTGTCTCTCACTCTCGCTTTCTCTCTGGGTATCTCCCTCTTTCTGTCTCTCTCTCTCTCTCTCTCTCTCTGTCTCTCTGTCTCTCTCTCTCTCTT